AAGATGCCCATCTTTACCACAGGGCTTCTTGTGCCTGTGTCTGTCTTGTTCCTGCCTGCGTACTTCGGAGCAACTCATCCAATAAGCCTCACCTCCATTGATGATACTGCTGAATATATATAGTCAGATAATCTTTTATGAAGCGCTGCAGATGTGACCTAGGGCGGATGAGGGAGAGTGTCGCGGATTGAACTAATGCAGCAGAACTGGCAAGTGCTGGCATGAGCAACAGAGGTAAACACGGAGGTTAAAAATAACAGATAAGACCGAGGGTCTCCTGCACTGCTGAATCAGCAGTGTTGTGGACACAGAGTTGCTGAAGTGATACGCAAAGATGTTTTTGGTCTTTCTGTGTGAGAGTGAGGTCATCCAGGTCCCAGAAGAGCTTGCTGATGTTAATCCTCTTTTGGGAGTTATGATGCATTCGAGCAGTTAGACTACTACTGTGTTGTATGAGCATTACCAAACAGGGAACAGACTCTGCATCCCTTAGAGCCATTTGCTCTTTCCTTCATGAGTTAGGACAGTGATTACGATTATTAAACACCAAGGAAAAAGTAAATTTAACATAACCTTTTCACAAATAATTCTAGGATCAAATTAGACATTTTTTTCACTTAATGACAGAAAACTGAGTAATGGCACAAAGCTGATTCTGAATCTTATAACGTGTCTGTATTTCTATGTCTCTGCAACATGGAAAGAAGCTTTCGTTCACAATGTACAGAAATATTATGACTCTAATCGGCGGCGGCTGAGGTAATGTTGGAAAAGGATTTGAAATTGCTTTCAGGGCAACCGCAGTAAATCAATCACAGTACTTCATTGTTTTCCCATGTCGGTTCATGTTACAGCATCACACTCACAGACACCATCTGTGTGTATTGATTGGTGTGGCACTGAGTTTGGGATAGGTTTACACTGATAGCCAGACTGAAATAAACCATTGGAAACCAACACCGTTTGTTCGACCGTCCTCCGGTTCACACGGGAGATTGTGGACCCAATCTTTGATTGCTACATTTCATTTGTTGTAGTCAGTCTATGCTTCCTGTCCATAATCCATAACTACACAGTAGCAATTTACATCCTGTGATCATTTAAGAAACGTGTTTATGAAAACTGTAAAGACGAAATATGGATATAAATCCCTGCCCGTGTGCTTGTATTCACAGTGTTGCTAGGCAGGCTTCTATGTTAACCGCACACGAATAGGTTAGCGAGGCACGTGTTGGCGTGTATGTTGTCATGTGTGCCTCTGTTTGCAAGGAGAGGTTAATGGGAGCCACCATGTGGCGGAGGGGCTGATATCTTGGTCTTCAGTTCATTTCTGTTGATTTTCAGCCAGGTAGGCGGGGCTCCACATAAAACCATGAATCAGCACAGCGGATCACCACTGTGCTTCTGCCAGCTTTTCTTTTTCCTTGCTCACGCACGCACGCACGCACACACACACACATACACACACATACAGATGCATGTAGGATGAGGAGCACAGAGCTGGCGAATCAGGGTGGAGGGCGACAGGGAGAGAGAGAGATCCTGTGGGCAGGTAGATGGAGATAATCTCACTTGGTCACTTGGGGGCTGATTAACTCTAAACTCCTTCTAATTCCTTAAGCCTACTGTCAGTGCCCAGGAAACATGCTTTCGTTGTCTTCTAGTATTTATACGTCGTTGCAGTTATTTTGGGAGCCGCGCTTATTTTAAGTCAGCGGTCAGTGCTGATAATGACGGAGCAGTGCACTCGTTCAGATTAAATCCATTTTCAAAAACTGGGCTTTAAGTGGAATTGAGTGTGCAGTTGCGATGGTGCACACATGTATACATACACGTGTTGTGAACAGGAATAGATATGAGGTTGTCTGTAAAGGCCAACTAATGAGTCCCAGCTTCTTGCGCACACGTTGCTATTTATACACTTTACCTCCTCCTCCTCCTGCGTCTCTGCAAGCTCGTCTTCATTCAGCCCTCTGCTTTTATTTTATTACACATGCACACAGCGGTGCTGCTGCAGCGTCACTGGTAAACAGTGTGACGGTTTTAGTAGCGAGACAAATATATTTTCGGAGTGTGAGAATGATAAATAGAGCTTTGATCGTGTGGCTGGGTTAGCATCAGTTCAAGCAGTTATTCTAATAACTAATAACTAAGCATATGCAATTTTTCTTGTAAGTCAGGTTCACTCAATCATATCACCTATTTTCAGATTTTTAAATAACCTTCAGATGAATTAAGAGCATAATAAACTCTAAATCACATCCTCTTTTGACTCCAGTTCTGTTCACACCTGATCCAGCAGCTCACTTATGCTGGAGGGTGGCCTGCTTCATCTATAATTTAGCTCATTAGAGACACTAATTATATGGTATTGAGGGCAGTTTTATCCCTCTCGGTGCAGCAACATTTCATCCATGTGTAAGAGGAGGAGATATTAGTCACGTTGCTAGAAATTAACTGTGAGTTGAGATCCTGTGGCGTGACGGTCGCCGTCTCAATTGGTCAGGATGCAGGTTGGGCCTGCTCAGCTGGGTGACAGCAGAGATGTTAGATAGGCAACACAAAATGGAGGAGGCAGCAGACACAAGCTCAGCTGGTCCATTAGGAGCATGTCTGCTTTCTGACAATCAGAATTGAGATGACAGAGCACTAAAAGACCCAAAGGAGACTGTGAGCATTGATGCATACCACTATCTGTGTGTGTATGTGCATATGTGTGTGTGTGTGGTGACCTAGGGAATAGGCCTACGGGGGGGGGGTCTTATGGGGGGGGAAGGGTAGGCAGGATTAGTTATAGTGTTCAGCCCAGTTATTGGTCACTGGACACAAACAATGGGAGGGCTAAAGAGGATTTGTTCTTATGTGTACCCCCCTCCTCCTCTCCCGCTGTCCTGTAGTGCCAGTGGGAAGTGCACGGTATAGAGGTCCAGGCTGCACCCAACGGGGGCGGCCCCGTGCATCTGGAAGATTGGCCCGTCTGCCCGTCTAGCGTTTTCCCATCCCCCACCCCTCCCCCAGCCCAGGGTGGGACTTGAACTACATATGGACGAGACAAAAACACAGCCACATTCGTCACCAGTCAGACGAGACCTAGTTCAGGGGAGCGTGCACATCGGCACAGTCGAAATAAGGAGCTGATCTGCGATGCGAGTGGCTGTAACTTGCTTAAGCGAGGTGTTGTGCCATTGCACAATACCTGCAGTTTTTTTTTAGTCCCTGTGTGATTTAATCAGCTGGTTAGAAGTTTCTAAATATACCAGATCTGTCCTCACACTGCCACCGCAGAGGATCAAAGTTGTGTTCATTAAAGGGCCCAAGTACTGGGACTGCGAGTCACATCATTTTGATTGTAATAACACGGGCAGGTATGCTCGCTCTGTTACATACTGACAGAAGTCAGCCTCACCTTAACCGAGTGAGGTTGAAAAGTACAAGAGGTAAAATGAGATGGACGTGAAACCACTAAGAAATATTTTTTTAAATCTCGATGTGTTAAACTATTTGAAATTGTGTGAGTAATCAGGTGGCTTATTTACTCATTACTAGCAGACATATACAATAACAATACTGTGCAGAGCAAAATGTGACTGAAGTAAGAGTTAATTTATTGACCTGCAATTTTAGACATTAGGAATGACTTTTAAAAAACTTTATAAGCTTTTTATTGGTTTATTTATGTCTTTATTGTCATATTGTTCTAGTGCCTTAGATGACCTAAGCATGAGGGGCGTGTGTGATTTGAAGAGCCAGGCATGCCCAATGTAGACAGTGCTAATAGGCAAATCCAGAGCAGAATGCCTCCTTTGTGTCAGTGAGCTTTAATGAGCCTGTTGTGAGATCTCTGTGCAGACAGAGAAACACTCTGCAACAAGGAGGACCATTGTGCGATGAAATGATGTTTGTGCATGTGTAAATACGTGCGTGTGTTTGAGTCACGGCGTAGTCTGTAGGTGGCAGTTGGCTCCATGTTTCCTGGAATATTAATAAATAATAGGCACTCTTAAGGAGTAGGCAGCTAACGATACACTGAAGCAATAATGAAAATTACAGTGAAAAATAGCTTATTGTTAATTAAGAGTGTAAGCCAAAATGCAGAATATTTAAGAGAAAATAAGCAGGAACGGGTAGAAATAATCCTGTTTGTGTCATAAAATAAAACATTATCTGTTCCGCTGGCAATCTGAGCCGAGGGCGATGACTGAAAGGCAGATTAGATAGAGCTTAAAACAGGAAATAATCCACAGATTTTAGTAAATTTTGTGTAGCTGATGTGATAGTTGCTGTCTTGATTAAAAAGTCACTAGTTTTACCTGTAAAATGTCAAAAAATGGTTTAAAAATGTCCTAAAATTTATTTAAAAAAAACTTTTGTTCCAAAACTGCGTATGTGTAAATGAAGTGTTAAGTTAACCTGGTTTGTTGGACACCATCAATGCTGTGACCTTTCTTCATCTATGACTCCCTTCTGTTTCACCTTCGCAGTGGCTACCATGACAACAGAGGCAACTGCCGTGACTGAGGCAGACACTGAGGGCAAGCAGAAGACCAGTAGTGCTGAGCCCGAACCAGAGAACAAGCAGAAGGCAGAGGCGGCTACATCTGACCCAGAGGGAGAGAAGTCGAGCACAAAGGCCCAGGAACAGGTCACTGAGCCTGGGCCTGCCGAAGCAGCGACCTCCCCTGAGGAGGAGCAGCTAAAGCCTCGTACCAGAACCTCTGCTGGCAAAGGCCTTACTCTTCTCCTCTTTCCTCAAACGCCGACCGCAGTGCTCAGAGGAAGAGGTGTTTGAGGTAGAAAAAGCCAAAGACGAAAAGGCAGACAAATAGGATAAAGTAGATAAGAAAGAAGAGGAGAAGGTGGAAGAAGGGAAAAGTCAAGACAAGGAGGCCAAAGCAGAGGAGGAAAAACCAGAGGTGAAAGAAGTGAAAAAGAAAGACGACAAAGCAGAACCTAAAGAAGAGAAAAAGAACGTGGAAGAAAAAGTAGAGAAGAAAGGTAGCAAAAAGAAAAAGAAAGAGGCCAAGAAAAAAGCAGAAGAAAAGGATGAAGAGAAAGTAAAAAAGGAGGAGACAAAAAAGGGGGAGGAAAAGTTGGTGAAAAAAGAGGAGCAAAACGAGGAAGGGACAACACAGCAGACTGTAGAAAAGGAGGAAAAGCAAGTGGAGAAAAAGGAAGAGAAAAAGAAGGAAACTGCTGAGGTCAAAGGCAAGGCGGCAGACGCTGGAAAGAAGGAGGAAGAAAAGGTTGACAAGAAGGTGGCAAAGAAAAAAGAAAAAGAAGAGAAATTAAAGAAGAAAGAGGAGGAGAAAGCAAAAAGGAAAGCAGAGGAAGAAGAGAGGATAAAAAAGAGGGAAGAGGAAAAAGCAAAGAAGAAAGAAGAAGAAAAAGCCAGAGAAACCGAGAGAGCGAAGAAGAAAGAGGAGGAAAAAGCTAAGAAGAAAGAAGAGGAAAAAACGAAAGAGGAAAAAGCAAAAACAAAAGAAGAGGAAAAACCAAAAGAGGAGTTGAAGAAAAAAGAAGACGAAAAGGTGAAAGAAGAAGCAAAGAAGAAAGAGAAAGAAGGGGAGGAAGCAAAGCCGGAAGAAAAGGAGGAAAAAGAAGAGAACAAAGAGAAGAAAAAAGACAAGGGAAAGAGCAAAGGAAAGAAAGAGGAGAAGGAAGTGAAGGAAGTGAAAGGACCAAGTGAGGAGCAGGTGAAAGCACCGATTGCTGCTCCTGAGCCCGAGCTTAAAACTGAGCCAGATATTGAACAGGCTGCTGATCAGCACTCTATAAGCAGCACAGAGGCGCAGGTGAGTCCTAACAATCTCACATTTAGAGTACTTGTTCTAAGATTCGCTGTGATTAAGATGAAAGTAGAACCAGTAGGCAGTTGGCTTAAATTAGCATGATCACTGGAAATGTAAAGATATGGCAGCCTCTCCTAAACAGACCTCCAAAACTTACGGGTCAAACAATATATTTTGCCTGTATATTTCTACCAAAAAACAAAGCTAACACTAAAAACAGACCGTATTTATTTGGAGTAATGTGCAGTTCTATTTTTAAGCTGACTGCCGTGATTTCAGACTGTTTGCAATGTCCTTGTGATAACAAGATCCCAGGAAGCCTGACCTTGATGGAAAAGAGGTATTACAGACTTTCAGAGGTGCTGTAGACCGACTCCAGACGGATTTATCTAACTCCTCTAACTGTATTTTCTAAAACAAGGGCTAAAAAAGAACATCACTGCAGACAAAGGTTATAAAAAAAGCACTTCATGCTGCTGATTGGGTTTTGCTTTCTAATGAATTTTTTATGTGGACAGCTTGCTCAGTGAGCATCACTGTGCTCACTTGGGCTTAAAGGCTGGTCTGAAACAAAGATGACCCATGCTGGTTTGAACTAACGCTAGTATCAACCGCTCGGGTTCATCCTGGGTTATTTGAGTACTACCTTAGTATGGTGCTCTGTATAATGTCTCCCACTTTCTCTTTCATCTTTGTAACACACTTTGGCAATTGTCTGGTTTTGACTATTTTAGCCAGCCCAAGAGGAACACAAGGAAGAGGCTATGATAAAAGAGCCTGAAGCAGTGGAAGAAGTGAAACAGGAGGACACGGAGAAAATAGAGGAAGAACCAGCAGAAAAGGAAGAGCCAATCAAAGAAGAGGAAAAGGAACAAAAGCAGGCAAAGAAAGAGAAGCCTGCAAAAGAAAAGACAGAAAAGAAGACTGAAGAGGTTAAAGGCTCTAAACGTCAGAAGACCATGCAGTGCAAAGTCACCCTGCTGGACGACGCTCAGTTTGAGTGTGAACTTGATGTAAGCAAACCCTCCCAAAATGCACCACTGTTGCGTTTGCTTTTCTGTGATGATAAACATGGAAACTGAAGAGTTTCTCTTGCCGTGTGTCCCATGTCTGCGTTTCTCTTTCTCATTTAGAAACATGCTAAAGGCCAAGAACTTCTTACAAAGGTGTGTGACCATGTTAACCTCCTGGAGAAAGACTACTTTGGCCTGGCTCACTGGGAAACCCCAACCAGCAAGGTAGGATGGTTTTACCCTTCTGTAGTGTTAATTACTTGGAGCATAACTGGATGTTATGAATGACAGTGCAAAAAAAAGTGAGCAAATTTTCTTGCATTTCTTCCGTTTTGCTCAGACATGGTTGGAACCCACCAAAGAGATACGGAAACAGGTCCCAGGTGCTGTCTATGAGTTTACATTCAACGTCAAGTTCTACCCTCCTGATCCAGCTCAGCTTACTGAAGACCTAACCAGGTGAGCAAGCATCAGCTTGGAGGAATGGATCAACATGAGGCAATAGGGAGCTTTTGCACTGCATTTATTCAACCCAGGATAAATGTTCATAGACTCAATTCCTTAATCGTTTCACACCTTTTCCAGGTACTTTCTGTGTCTCCAGCTGAGAAAGGACATTATGCTTGGTGTTCTTCCCTGTTCCTTTGTCACACTGTCCCTGCTGGGCTCCTACACAGCCCAGTCAGAACTCGGAGAGTATGACCCCGAGCTCCATGGAACAGACTACGTTAAAGATTTGAACCTGGCCCCCGGACAGAGCAAAGAGCTGGAGGAAAAAGTGATGGATCTGCACCGCACATACAGGTCATTAAGGAGTTGTCTAGACACGCCCTTTTCACAGTGTTCATTTAAGCCCAGTGTGCATACATTGAAGGAACCTAATTCATTTTCGAAGCTGCTTGAAGATGATTGAGCCTCAAAAATGATTCTGACAGTAAAATACGTCTTTGAATTAAACGTTATCGTGTGTGCCTCCAGATCAATGAGTCCAGCCCAGGCAGACCTGCTGTTTCTGGAAAATGCCAAGAAGCTCGCCATGTATGGAGTTGACCTGCACCAAGCCAAGGTATGTTTATTTTTATTTTTAAAATTATTTTACTGGTTTGGATGAATGGTTTGCTTCTTAACACGTGGTCCAGTCTTTTTCATAGAAGCATGTCACGAGTATGTATGCATGTATTGATTTTTATTCGATTTTAAAATGCTCTTTTTACAATAGCATCATTGTATTGCAGCAGTAGCATCCATATTTAATTACAAAATTGATGTCATCCCCCTTTGGAAAAAAAAAAAGAGAGATTAATAACATCCTAAACTCCATGACCTCAAACAGCATTCGTGTTTCGTGAGAAAGTCTGCCCCCCGGTGACTGATTATTGCAAGAGCAGGCTGGCGGTGTTTGGTCAGGGCTGTAAATGTTCCGTGGTGTTTCTTGCATGCAGGATCTGGACGGTGTTGATATAATGCTGGGCGTTTGCTCCAGTGGTCTGATGGTTTACAAAGACAAGCTGAGGATCAACCGTTTCCCTTGGCCCAAAGTGCTCAAGATCTCATACAAACGGAGCAGCTTTTTTATCAAAATCAGGCCGTCAGAGGTAAATCTCACTTTACATAGTCTGTATGTTTGACCTGTATTGATTTTTGTATTGTTCTATACAGATCCAATTTCCATAGATTTCCTCTGAGCTTAGCTTTGAAAAATGTAAAGAACTGATTTCTTTTAATAACCAATAGATTGTGTGTGTGGGGGGGTTTACTCTAACCCCCTAGACTTATTTATTATTTCTCAGCAGAAGTGGCTGGTATAAAATGTAATAGTACTGTTAGTTTATATTGCTATTGGTTTTCTTATACACATAAATGTAACTGTACGACTGAGCCAACTGATTGCAAGAATGATAAGATACATCCAGCTTTTCAGATGTCTTTCAGTTTCTTTCACTATTTAAAGAAAACTGTGTTTCACAATTGCAGAATAATGTCGCTATGGAGTCATTGAATTTGACTTTTGTTTCTTTGCTTTTAGCAAGAGCAGTATGAAAGCACCATTGGTTTCAAGCTGCCCAACTACAAAGCCTCAAAGAAGCTGTGGAAAGTTTGTGTTGAACATCATACCTTCTTCAGGTAACAACGCTTTGATTCTGAGTGACACTTAGGTCCTCCCTATCCACTTGTTAATTGGCTAACTCCTCACTCCACCTTAAGCCCTGTATTGGCACCACAGCAGTTTTAACCACAGAGGAAAAGCTGAACACTCTTAAAGCTTTTGTCTGTTTAATGAGATAAATCCAAACATGTTGCTAATCTTTTTACATAACACGAATCCTTTTTTTTTTTTAAAGAAGACAGTGCAGGGTTTATAATTTTGAATCCACAGTGTTCATGTAATGGTCAAATAATGTGTAGATTAAAATGTAATTCTTATATCTCTTGCTCAGGGTTTCAACAGTGGAGCCGCCCTCTTCACGTCGCTTCCTCGCCTTGGGCTCTAAGTTCCGGTACAGCGGTCGTACTCAGGCCCAGACCCGCCAGGCGAGCTCCATGATCGACCGGCCGGCACCTCGCTTCACACGATCTGCAAGCAAGAGGCTGTCTCGCAACCTAGATGGAGGTATGCGTGAGTGTATGTTGTCACACCTGTGTGTGTGTGTGTGTGTGTGTGTGTGTGTGTGTGTGTGTCCTGCAATAAACCACAGGTCCAATAAGGTGCCCTCTGACTTCTTTTGCTATAGAACCTGGAGATGAAACTCTCCAGTTTCTGCAGGTAGTCTCGGCATCAGCCAGGACTCAGGTTGATGATTGGTCACTGCTGATGGTATCTGAAAGACCCCAGCCTTCTTCCGAATTCACAGGTACTTCGAAGTGTGTGAAGTGATGCCTTTTGGCATACCTTCTACTCGCAGATTGCTTTGTAGGATCTAACAGCCTTTTTGCATCATTTTTCCATTCATCTTTGCTTCCATACCTGCAAAACTGTTGCTGTTCAGCACAGTTAGCTTGTCTGGAAAGTGACCTATTCTGATACATGAGATGGGACACGTACCCTGTACTTTCCCCGGTGTGACTCCACAGTATTGTTGGTTACTGAAATCTGAAAGAAATTAAATAAATTTCCTCACAAATGTAACTCTAAACAGGTATTTCCAGTCTTGAGGCTCTTGTTCCTCTTTTTTTTCATTTCATAACTTTGCACTTAACGTGTGTTGCACAACCGCTTTCATTTGCTTATTTTCATTTGCCTTTATGCTTGAATTTTTGACTGACTGACCTCCCTCATCACTGCCCCAGTGCCCATCATTGTAACGGGTTCCATCTGGAGCCTGTTTGTGTTCCAAAGTGCAAAAGGCATCTTTCATTCATCTTTATACTAACTTCGCTTTACTGGACTCACAGAAGTCTGGCACAAAAGCTTGAAATCTTGCTTGCTTGAAGCGCTGTGCAGCATTCACAGCCGGTCGTCATCTCTGCAGCAAAACCATTACATAACTGGCATCACCTCGTCATGTCTTCACAGCCGGAAGGGAGTTTGAGCAGAATTTCACTCAGTCCTGGGAGGAGGAGGAGGGGCGTACTGTTGGCACGGAGACTGGGACTGCTGGTCCTCAAACCATTATCCAGACAGTCAGTCAGCCATGGCTGGATCTGGTGAGCGATGACGATCACCAGCAGAGGAGAACGGAAGATGAATGGTTTATTCTTCTGGATCATCAGCCTCATATTCCATTTATCTCACCCTTTGATTTTGTTGAAGAGCCAGGTATCTACCTTTATAGTGCATGGGTAGCGTCAAATATCGCAAATTTAACATGCACT